AAGAACATATATAGGGTTGGCAGACAATGGTCCTATAAGTTTATGTGAATGATCAGAATTCCCAGGTGTATAGTAGAGCTGACAAGGGACAAGGTTGTGGTCACTGCTTGGTCACAGCCAGCTACCCAGAGGGACCAAGTAGTTGAACCTGTGGGCTTGGGACCACAGTCGCAGGAACATCAAGTTCAATTGGCATAACATACTATACAAAACATTGTTCCACCTCCTACTTTGATGAGTAGCAACTGGGATCTTAAAAGCTAGCAAGCTGCCATCTAGACTTCTCCAAAAGAGTCAAAAGAGAACCTACACATTGGGAAAAAATATTTGGTAATGACATATCTGACTTATCTCTAGACTTATCTATGGGTCTCTCCTCGTCCAAAGCAAAGAAGAATGAAGAAAACCAAAATGCATGGAAACAATTAGTCCTAGTAACTGGTACACCACCCGATCTGCAGCCTACATGACTATGAGACCAGAAGAACTAGATGGTGCCCAGCTACCATGGTCAACCACTCACTGGGGGATCTATCTAGGAGATTCTTGATAGATGGAGAGAACAACGTGAAAGAAAACTCAAAATCATTTGGGAAAAAAAGGCAGGGAGGACCAGGTTTGCTCGTCCGATAGAGCATAGTGGCACCGCTGATACTATGTCCCCTAGCTGCTTTTCAGGTTTGGAATTGAACCTACTCTGGTAGCGTAGTGCCTAAGGCATATAACTGCTAACCAGAAGACTAGTGGTTCAAAACCACCAGGTACTCTTCAGAAAGAAGTTTGGGCAATTTACTTCCATAGTGATACTGCCTCAGAAACCCAAGGAGGGGTCGCCATGAGTCTGATCTGACCCGACACGAGTGAGTGAGTGCCTGTGGCTTCCAGCCAAACAAAAGATAGGCATATGGGCTAAACATTAACATTAGGTAGATACACTCCTTGGAGAGCTCGATCACGGGCGAATAGAAGGACTGTGTATGCACAGGGAGCCAGATTGGCAGCAGGAGTGCATGGAAGGCAAGAAGAGGTGGCTATGGGAAGGAAGTGGAAGGAGAGCTGTTGCATTATGGGAGACTGCATTCAATGTCACGAGATGAAGTATATGTGAACTGCTGCATGGAAGATGAATTTACTCTGTAAACTTTCACCCAAATCACAATTAAAAAAAAAAAAAAAAATTGTCCATAAAGGTTAAAGGAGTTAGGAGCCAGAGAGTTTCAGACTCAATAAATTCATTTTTTCCTATAGAAGTCTCAATAAGGTATGTAAAGTTAAAGTTGTCACATCACTAAGCACATCCAGTTGCTGGTTATGTCTAGTTTTTCCTCATGCTTATAAAGCCTTTCTTTTTCTAGCATTGTTAATTAACACTGCCAAAAACAGCAAAACTCTTCTCAAATATTATCATATATCACCCAATAATGTGATAAAAGAAAGTACACTTAAACTTTTCCTACTCAAGCAATATAGGTTTCAACAGTGGTGTGCTTAATGCAAATTGCATTCCCTAAATAATGCGCTACATTACATTATATCCAAACCACTGCTATGAAAGGAGAAGTCTAAGGCTACAGATACATGGAACAGGGATCACACCCAAATGGGTGGGTCGGGAAGGCACCCCCCAGAGGAAGTGAAACTTCAGGGATAAGTAACCAGTTGCTGATACAATTCCAACTCATGGCAACCACGTGACAGTCAGAATAGAACTGATCTCCATGGAGAGTAATCACGGGAGAAAGAAGGGCTGTTTATGCACAGAGAGACAGCTCAGGGGGCAGGAGTGCATGGAGGGATAGACACAGAGAAGAGGTAACTGTCGGGAGGAAGTGAGAGGGGAGCTGTTACATTGTGGTAAATTGTAGTCAATGTCATGAGACAATGTGTATGTGAACTGCTGTGTGGAACGTGCATTTGCTCTGTAAAATTTCACCCAAATCACAATTAAAAAAAAAAAAAAAAAAAAAAGACTGACTTTTCGCAAGTGTGTCCCTAGACCCTTCCTCTGAGGCAACTCTGGGTGAACTCTCAATCTTTTTGGTTAGCAGCTAAGTGCAGTAACAATTTGCACCACTCAGGACTCCACGGGTATGAGTAAGAGATAGTTAAGCAAAAAGGGAAAGAAAAGGGGAAAAGCTGTGCCAAGGCAAAGGGAATATTCATAAAGGTTAATCCTACTCTGCTCTAAAGGGTTGCTAGGAGTTGAAATCCATTCTATAGCAAAAGATTTGATTTTCTGGGGGTAAGGTAAAAAACGAACGAGACATTTTAAGGAACAGAAACATAGTGGAAAAGAGGGAGGGAATTGATATGGGAAATGAACCAGAGATATAAGACATGGTCTTGTAAGTAACTGTTGTTGTTATGTGTCATGAGTCAGACCCTTCCTTGGGTTTCTGAGGCAGTATCACTATGGAAGTAGATTGCCCCATCTTCCTTTAGAGGAGTGGCTGGTGGGTTTGAACCGCCAGCCTTCTAGTTATCAGTCAAGTGCCTTAGGCACTATGCTACCAGAGCTCCCATTCTAATAGGAAGGGTTTTACATTACAAGCATTGGAAACCATTAAAGGTGTTAAGGAGAGAAGTTATATATGACCACATTTCATTTTAGCTACCTCTCCCTCCTCTAGGAGCTCTCATGGTGCGGTGGCTAAAACATTTAGCTGTTAAACAAGCCAACAGTTCTAACTAACCAACCAGCAGTTCTGTGGGAGAAAGATGAAGCAGTCTGCTTCTATAAAGATTCTGCGAAGATTTAGAGCCTTGGAAACTCCACTCTGTCTTACACGATAGCTATGAACCAGAATCAAATCCATGGCAGTGGTTTGATTTTTCAGTTTCCCCACTCCTAAGATCCCCTCAAAATTGGGCTTCTTTAACAGCAGTCCAACTCACTTCCGTGGACTGGCTCTCAGGCCAACAGTAGAAAAATCTACATGTAGAACACCTACCCCAAGGAGATGCATCAACCTACCCTAAGGAGATGCAACCCTTAGATCAACCAGCCTTGAAACATCAGAGGGGCAGCATTCACTTGGGGCAAAACCTGGACCGATAGGAATGCAGATAAGAAGGGCACAGGGAAGGGGCAGTCACAGGGAGAAGATGGGAGGAGAGTTTTTTATAGTTGGGGATTATAATCGGGGCTATGAAATCAAATGTAAAATAAATCTGCTTTGTAAATTTGCATCCAAAGCAGAATATTAAAAAAAAAAAAAAAAAACTAGCAGTCCAAGATTATTTGCACTTCCTCCCACCTTCTCAATTCCAGGTAATCTGATTTCTGCACTCCAATGACTTGTTCTCTTCAAGTAATTAATCTTCTAGTTGCTAAATACAATAGACCTTTCAGCCCTTTTTTGCCTTATTTGAAGCATGTAGCCTGCTGACCATCAACTCTCTCTGCATTTCCTCCACCCATTTTTTTTTCCCCACTTCTACGGGAGCTCTGGTGGCATCGTGCTTGAGACATCTGACTGCTATTCAGAAGGCTGGCGGTTCAAACCCAACAGCCACTCCTTGGAAAGATGACTGGACAATCTACCCAAAGAGGGGTTGCTATGAGTCGGATTTGGTGCAGTGAATTTGGTGTTTTTCTTGTTGTTGTTTTTGTTTTATGGCTGTTAATCTCCAGTCTTTTTCCACAAGCTCTTCTTTCTCTACTCCCACCCCCCCACCCCGCCCTCACAAATGCTGTTATCTATCAAGATTCAGCCCTTGCCATCTGGCATTTCTAAACTCTCTTTATCTTTTCCCTAGCTGAGCTCACTTACTCTTTCACTATCTATGTAAAAGTTTGTGGTTTCCAAAATCATTTACAGCTCAGACCTCTCTCTGGAACTCCAAATTTATATATTAAACTACTTCCATTTCAATGTCTCACAGGTACCTCAAAGTAAATCAGTTACAAAACCAAACACATCTACTCCTTAACATTTGAAATCTATAGCTCCCCTCCATCCCTCCTGCCACTATCTCAGTTCGGGAGCTCATCATTTCTCTTCAGTAGACTCCTCCTTGGGCTAACTCCCTAAGTTAGCCACATCAAACCCACTGGTACTCAGAATGATCTTGCTGAACACTAAGTATGATCATGGCACTTCCATGCTTAAAATTCCTTGGTAAGCCCCTACTATCTACTTCAAATTCTTTAATCTGATCTACAAAAACACAGGAGTTGTCAATTTCAACTATTTTTCATCAGCTTCATTTCTTCCACCACCATGCAAAATTGTTGGTAGTTTACCGGTTATTTCATACTGAGCCTTTATGCACATTTCTTCCTTCTTTGGAGCACTCCCTTCAGCACCTGTATCTTCTTTACCTGGCCAACTTGTCCTTCAAAACTGAAGTTTCTTCTCTAACAAGCTTTGCCAGAACTCCTTGGTGTACTCTCTTTCTAGGACATACAGGACTCCTAGGTACTCACACAGAGTGCTGTGGAAGTACAGTACCTAGCTTTGCATTTATCCCTTTTATTGTTTTCATCTGTTTGACACTCCTCATACTAGGCTATATCGTTGAAAGTGGGAACTCAGTCTTTCTAAAAGTATCCTCAGTATCTAACACTGGTACATAACAGATACGTTATGTGTGAACACATAAAAACATGGAATTGCAATGAGGCCCTCAGGACAGCAAGTCCTGGAAGATGAGCTCTTTGCCAATAGTAACCCCATCAGTCATATTCTGTGCTGAATGCCCACAGCAGGGGCTTTCACACAGCCTGGTGTTCCGTCCATAATTGTGGAATGGCTGCATGGATGTTCTGGTGTCACTGGAAAACACTCTTAGCCAAACTCTTCCCAGATTTGCTGTCCATTATATTCTTGTTTTGTGATCTATTTTTACTGTAACAGCAGTGTACCTGGCATAGTTTCTATTGAACAAGCTAATGCTTTTGTTCTTCCATTAGGAAAAATAGTAAGAGTGATGGCCAACTAACCCACTAAATTAAAAGATACTAGCCACAAGCTCATGGAAGAGTTTCCTGAGCTACTTGAAACTGGATGAGAAATTTACAGTGGATCTAAATATACATTACTTTTCTTACAATCAAGATCACAGGTTTTATTGAATTCTCAAGAAAACTAATGATACAAAAAACAAAATGAAGCTGCTTTACCAAACTATGAAGTTCAATTAAATTGTAGCATTGGCATTTCTCTCTAAAACATGTATTCTGATATATGAATTGCATCTTGGAGGCAGCAGCCTCTCCTCTGCTAAACCAACTATGTAAACCATACAACTGGAGAATACACAGCTGGCAGACTCTCACATAAAATCCCTACTAGAACTGGCATTTAAGTACTTTCACAATTGAACAGTCTTTACCATTCTTTAAAAGACGTATTTATACTATGTTAAAAAAGATTAAAACATGTTCTGATCTGATGTAAGTGAGGGCATTTATTACACTGCCTGCTAACGTGTTCCAGAAGAAAAAGCTATATTCTGAACATAATGACAAAATAAACATTTTTTACTCTCATCTAGTTAAATGGAGACAAAACCAAAATCATTTCGATTTACAGGAATGCGCTTTTCATTTTTTACTGTACACAGAGTGAATCAAGCAGCATTTAATTCAGTCTATTGCCTTGGTGACTCAAGCCAATCTAGGAATTGAGAGACTAGACAATCGAGTGTTAAAGATAAAAAGTTTTGTTTGTTTCAAGTAAAAGATATGCCAACTGATCTCAAAAAGCTAGTCACAAAAAAAGTTTATACTGTCTGATTTCATTCTTATGCGTTCCAGGACAGGCAAGATAATTGTGTGGTGATAAGGGAGCTCTGGAAGCATAGTGCTTAAGGCACTTGACTACTAACCAGAAGGCTGGTGGTTCAAACCCACCAGCGACTCCTCGGAAGGAAGGCTGGGCAATCTACTTCCTTAGTGATACTGCCTCAGAAACGCAAGGAGAGGTCGCTATGAGTCGGGTCCGACTCAACGGCAAACAACAACAAAAACAAGGAATATGAAGAGTGATGGTCTACAGGGCCGCGGAGAAGGCGAAAGGGATTGACTAGGAAGAAGCATGATGGTACCTTATGGGGTTTCGGAAACGTTCATCTTGATTTGTGTGATGCTATGACAGGTGTATAAATTTGTGAAACTCGCTAAACTGTGTAACTAAGATCTGTGCATTTTACTGTATGTAAAGTATTCCTCGATACAGAAAATTTTAAAAAGAAAGACATTCTTATTCCTTTTAAAAATTCAATCGAACCCTACTTCCGTTCCGGAAGGCTCTTTGTGGAGAACGATCCACATGCTTAGACTGTGGGCTCTGAAAACGTTCAGACTGCAGATCCCGAAGCTTTCACCGCCACAAAGGTTTAGGCCCTGGCCTGACGAGAACCGCGAATCAAACGACCAACCTGAGACAGCGATACCAAGACCGCACCCGCCTTCAGAAACCGGGACCCAGTACCCTCGAGGGACCCCAGCCCGGGCACGCCCCGCACACCAGCAGTTCGGGGCGGGGAACCGAGCGGGAGCCCAGTACACGCGAAACGCAAATGGCCCACCCGCGCCACCGCGAGGCGCCACTGTGCTACCGACTTCCAGAGCTCACTCTGCGCTTGCGCTTCCGAAAAGTATCCGTGCTTAAAATCTTTTTCTTTTTCCCCAAAAGGAAGAAAAGCATCGGTGCCCTCCCCGTATGCGCCCGCAAGCCGGGCCGGTCGGCTGGCGGCCACTTCCGCCTGCTGAGGGTAAAGAAGGGGGAGGCGGCAGAAGGGAGCCGGGGGAGCTCGAGCCCGAGTTCCCGTAGGTGGTGGGGGGAGGGACGCAATCGCTGTGCTAGCCCCTGCGACTCACCAAGTACAGCTGCTGCCAGCGATTCTGGGCATCCAGCTCCTCAAACTCCCGCTCGACGGTGACCGACATGGCGGTGGGAGCGACGGAAGAGAGGGAAGCCCCGAGCCGCAGAGTCTCATCCCCTGCACGGATCCAGAGAACGCTAGACGCCCGGCGGGCGCATGCGCGATGCGCCGCGGCTGCCCTCCCCGCCCCCACCCCCAAGCCGCGGGCCGTGGGGAAAGTACCTGGTGCGTAGGACGTCAGCGCGCCGACGCCGCACTGGAGGCCGCCAGAAGTGGGAGGTGCGGAGACGCCGTGCTCTAGAGAGGGGCGTCGGGTGGGTTCGCAGGTGCAGAGGGTGGGCTTGAGCTGGTCTTTCCCCGCTCGCCCTCACTCCCAGCCTTGTCTTAAAGCCAAGTTGGCTAGAGGTGTTACCCGCCCCCAGGCCTGCTTGGGCGGCCGGGAGTGCACACAAGGGTAACTTGACTGAGGCAGGCTCTAGAAAGTCACCTAAGAAGTCATTTCATTCTTCGGTCGCATTTCTCTTTTTCTCAGTTGTAATTTAAAAATAATAATACGGTATTTGAACTTTATTTTAAACATCACCTAGGTAGTGTAGATGTGGCCAACTTTGGAGCAAATTTTTTAGCCCCATACCAGCTTTTCTGCGCCTTTGGCTTTTTGCGTCCAATAAACTACTATAGCAAAACCTCTCCTGGAGTTTGAGAGGATACATCTTGTTAAGAAAACAGTCCACAACTTACAAGTTAATGTTGCCTGTGAAACGGACACATCCTCTGTTATCCAACAAACTTGCTCATTATAGAAATCCTCGTTTCACATTAAGATATGTTAATGAATTCATGTTTATAGTATCTTATTGAGGATGCTTAACATACTATCTTTATAAGAAACGTGAAGAGTTGGAAAAATTTTACCTGTGCTGTGGGAACTCTAGTGGTGTGGTGACTGAGGCATTTGACCGCTAACCAAAAGGCTGGCAGTTCAAGCCCACCAGCCACTCCTTGGAAGGAAGATTGGGCAATCTACTTCAGCAGAGATGTTGTTGTTGTTATTTGCCATCCAGTCGGCCCGACTCCTAGGGGCCCCTCCTTGGGTTTCCGAGGCAGTTATCACTACGGAAGTAGGAATGCCCAACCTTCCTTCCGAGGAGTGGCTGGTGGGTTTGAACCGCCAGCCTCCTGGTTAGCAGTCAAGTGCCTTAGGCACTATGCTACCAGAGCTCCAGAGAGATAGAGCCTCGGAAACCCAAGGAGGGGTCGCTATGAGTTGAAATTGACTTTACAGCAGTGAGGTTTTTTTTTATGGTTTTTTTTTTTTTCTTAAATCCAATATTTAAATCATTAAATGAAACTAAAAATTCAGTTCTTCCTCACAATCGACTACATATTGATGGCCACGTATTATATACCAGAGCGCACATATAGTACAATTCTATCATCACAGAAAGTTCTTTTTTGACAGCAAGGTCTGAGGATTAAAGTATTTGAGGCAGTTAAGTGTCTTTAAATCACATGAGATAATGAAAACATTTAGTAAAGCAGCATGCTATGAGAGCTAGATGAAATCTAAGTATTCAAAACCAAAGTCACTGCCTTTGAGATGATTCTGGCTCATAGTGACCCCTATAAGATTTCCAAAACTGTAAATCTTTATGAAAGCAGACCACCCCAACTATCTTCTGCAGAGTAGCTGGTAGGTTCAAACCAAGGACCTTTTGGTTAGTAGCCAAATGCCTTACCTACTACACTAGAGCTCCTTGAAAACAGTAAAAGAGAAAATTAAGGAGCACGGTGGTGCAGTGGTTAAATAGTGGGCTGCTAAGGGAAAGGTTAATGGTTGGTTGGAACTCACCATCTTCTCCACAGGAGAAAGATTGCAACCTTAGAAACCCTATGGAGAATTTCTGCTCTGTCCTACAAGGTAACTGTGAGTAGGAATCCACTCCAAGGCAAGAGTTTTAATAGGCTCTTTGGTGACCCAATGGTTAGGCAGTTCCAATCTACCAGCTGCTCTTCGTGCAAAAACCTGGAGATCTACTCCCATAAAGTTTATGACCTAGGTGTGGTGCGATGAGTTTCTTGGTATGGCTCTTTTAGCCATGGTCTTTGTGACTCCCACGAGATGACTGAATGGAACTCTGCAAATGTAAGGTGGCTCTGGCCTATTAAAGAGATTGGATAGCTTGTGAGTAATGTAAATATGGTACATGGTACCCTTGTGGGTGTGGGACCAAGCAAATAAGTTTGGAATTGGTTAGTTTTGTCATTCTGTCAGGCTTAAAGTGAGCCCTCCTAGAGGCAGAAGGGGGGATCTCACTGCCATCAAGCGAGAAGAGCTGGAGGTGGAATGAAGTGTGTCCTTGGCCTCAAGATCCTTGTGCTAGACCTCCTTGGCAGATAGACAGCAGAGACAACCTGCAGAGATGACCAGCTGAGGAACCAAGAGGCATGAGAGAGAGCAGAGGGCTTGCCACCCCATGGAGCTAGAAAGCTGAGTGCCTTTTGGCAGGAGTCTTGCTGGTGGAGTGCAGTGCACCTAGGTTAGGCTGCTGATGGTGATTCTGTCTAGCCCTGGTGAAGTTTGAGGAAGTCAGAAGATGCTGTCCCCATGTCCTTCCAGCTGCTCTTAGTGAGAAAAACCTGGAGATCTACTCCTGTAAAGATTACAACCTAGGAAACTCTATGGGCTTGCTGTGAGTTAGAACAGCTATCCAAAGGCACCTCAAACAAGGGCCTGAAGATAGAGTTTTGAAAAATCAGCCTGGAAAACCCTATGGAACACAGTCTACTCTAACACATATGGGATTGCCATGTGTCAGAGTCCACTCCACAGCAACTGTATAATAGAAAATTAAGCAGTCAACCAAACTTTTCTTCCTACTTTTTGTGATTTGGGAATACATAGAGTTTCCTTCCAAATAAAACCCCACAGTCTCTAATTGTCCTGGTTCTTGAAACTCTGTCATTGAAACTAATTACATCTACTCCTCACTTATCAAAACTACATACATACACCTTCTCTTCACTTATAGGCAATCTCATTATCCATCATTTTGCATTTACAACAGTAGTAAAAAATTTACTACTCTACTATTTTGCATATTAATGACGTATAATAATTACTGCCGAGGTGCAAGGTGAGAGTAATGCTGACTGTGATAGTCAAAGTTATGTGCCAACTTGTCTGAGTCATAATTCTCAGTGATTTTGCTGTTATACGATGATGTAATTTGGCAATTGTGTAATGATGTCTTCATCCTCCAGGTTGAATACAACCTGATCTTTGGACCATAACCGTATTAGTAAGTGAGGAGTGAGTGTATTTACAATAGAAGCACAGATTCTTCTAGAATACCCTAAAATTGTTGAAATCAGCCTTCTATTAGGGACTAGCTGATCAGATTGCTTTTCAACATGAAAATATTCACTCTTCTGCCAAGGAAAGGCAATCTTTTCACTCACTGGAAATCAACTGAGAACCTCCAATATTGGTAATGGTGAGGTTATTTCCCTGAAAAGAGGGTAGCTTAATTTTAAAGGAGCAGTTCTTGTCACCAGACATATGTCATCCTTTTAGAGGTCATGTGTCATTCTCTGGGTGTGGAAGCGGCACTTAACCTTCCTCACTTTTTCTTAAGTTGCTGAGATGCAGCTAAGATTCTTGGTCAGTGGTTCTCATGGCAGCATCATTTCCACCAACTGTAAACTTGTTAAAAATGCAAATTCACAAGTCCTATCCAGATGTACTGAGGACTGCTGGTAGTGTAGTGCCTAAGGCACTCGACTACTAACCAGAAGGCTGGAAGTTCAAACCCACCATCCACTCCTCGGACGGAAGGTTGGGCAATCTACTTCCATAGTGATACCACTTTGGAAAACCAAGGAGGGGTTGCTATGAGTCAGGTCTGACTCGATGGCACATAACAACAGCAACAACAACATCCAGATATACTGAATCTGAATCTCTGGGAACGAGACCCTGGAAATAAGCTCAACAGGTGATTCTTATGCATGTTAATGTTCTTCAAGAACTACTGCTATAGACAGTTCCGGCAAGATGGCGGACTAGGCAGAAGGATTGCACAGACCCTCTTCAACAAAGAAAAGGGAAACCAATTAACACAGACACAGAAGATAA